TTATTGGACTTCCCTTCTTATCTCATCAATGAACCTCCTTTAGTCACGTGATATTGTGTGTGACCCTTTCAGCCTTGCGGGGTAGTGTTTCATCCTGTGTCGCTGTGTTGGACAGCACTCCATTTTGTTGGCTGGTAACAATTTGTTGGAATTTCTCTAGGCTATCCGGATGACTATCCGGATGATAAATCAAGATCTCATGAGAAGGAACTCTGGTCATTCTGGCTGCCTAAACTATGGAAATATCGCTCTTCTTATAGACCTCTCGGAGGTCCAATTCTCCTAGTAATTTGATATAGTATTTGGAATCATGAGCCTGGGAGTGTTTCGGAGTGCTGTACGATTGCCTGATTAGGCAATTCCTAAGACAATTCGGGTATGGTGACGGTCTCATGTTCGAATTCTCTGACAGATGACCATTTGGAAGGAGCTTGCCCCATCTGTAAAGGCGAAACGCCTCCTAGCTCTGAAGGGTCTGAATTTATGTTAGTCGGTTGATTGCTAGTAAGTAGTGCTCCATTGGTACTAAGTGTGACTTTAATTAATGTTGGGCTGTAGCCTGCAACCAATACCGAACGTCAAGATAAATCGTTGGTTTGGTTGAGGTTATGGCTATGAGCATGCAGGGGAGAAACTCCTAAATCGCTACTATAGGAAGAGATGTGACGAGATTAAAGAGACTTGATTCTTTATTCTATTAAAAAATGTGTGAGATGAGTTGTATATGCCATATTTGTGGGAGCGGGGTCTTCGGTTCTCAAATATGATATATCACATCAGGTGTTGATTACCGAATCTGGTTAGATCGGCATGCCATGATTTCCAACAGGTTTATGGAGGACTAGAACTAAGGACCCGCTGAGAGTCATCTATGAGACTATGACCTTATCATGTTTAGTTGAAATCACACCAGGAGTAATTCATCATACTCAGTTTTGTAGTCTTTGTTTATTAGCACTCATTTTAATGTTATTGGCCTAAAATTACATGGTGCACGTGCACTGTACTATTTGAATGATAGACATCATCTTATTGGTCAGTGTCCCACATGGCACAGTTCGCGAAACCTAAGAACAAGCTCACTCCGCCTTGCCCGACCCTTTATCAACATTTCTCCCTCTTTCAACCCAGCATGGATCAAGCGAAGCGAGTGATACTACGTTTGCGAGAAACTGAAATTGATTATACCGACCCTTATGAGTCGGTTCGGTTATACCTTGAGAACAACGGTCGGTCTGTCAAAGAACTTGAAGAGGGCCGTCATTTTGTCCATGTTCAACCCTCCAACCCTGATATACCACAAACTGACCCCAAAATCCACATTGTTATTGATATCGAAAAAGATCTATTCTCTGGGACTCTCGATGAAACACCCGCTGATGTACGTAGAAACAGTATTGATTGGGCAATGCTGAAGTCGAAAGGGACAGGTGATGCAGTTGAGTTCAGTTTGCTCTCTGGTCACACGTCAGGAGACTGGCAAATGAGGCTGAGAGAAGCAAGCAAAGCAAGGAAACACGGCGCAGAGAAGGGGCGGTGTGGGTCAAGAGCGCAGATGGCGTGGAATCGCATAGAACGGTGAAAAATAAATCAGGTTGATGGAGGATGTTGGCAGCGCCGAGGGGAGGCCACAAGATTTTATACGGCGGCCATGGAATTCGCGGTGAATATTATTGACACGCAATGCGGCATCACGTACTATTCCCAAATAGGAACGCTAAACTGAGAAGGGAAATTCGGCGACACCCGAGAGTACGGAGTACACAGTACATATCAACACAATATCCTAATAGATGTGGAATGCATATCAATTAGCACAATTGGTCTTGACTGTTAAAGAAAATACCCTCCATTATGTAGAGTGGATCCGTACCTAAGATAGGAACTGCACCAGTTCTTGTCTCCTGGTCTGGTCTATCTTTAGTTACTGGATTTGTTGTCACGCTGGCAGGCCAGTTTTTTCATTAACCAGATCTAATTATAAAAAATCGTGGAGTGAAGCTTCCCTTTCTCGACGGACCGGACTCATAGCCAAAAGAAACTTAATTTAAACCCTTTTATTTTTATTGCTGTCAGTAACTTAGCTAGTCATGCCAAGCTCAGATGCCCCTTTGAGAGGCTCGTGGTTCGTTTCTGGAGATGCCTCATAGTAGAACCAGAATACCTTCTTTCTTTCCTTTTTTTTTGCTAGGCTGTAGTTGGCTTTTTCTTCTCCTTCTTTCGCTTTTGTCTCTGCTCTGCTCGCGCAACTCGTTCCGGGCCTGTTACAGAGTAAATTGGATAACCTTGTTTTTTATTATCGACGCAGTAGTAGGCAGAAAATTAAGGTGACTAACTTATCGATGCTTATCTTCCCGTCCCGTCAGTAAGTAAGAGGACGACTACTGCTACTAAATCGAGAGGTAATTAGCAATGAAGTAAGAGTTATTATTTCTCTGCAGCCTGGCAAGAACTGGTATTTATTTATTTATTCGTTTACTACAGAGTTTACTTATTTTCCCTAAGTATGCCTGTAGGTTAGTTAGTTAGAACCAAGAATCCACAAACAAGTCTTCCACAGTAAAGAGTAATTACAATAAAATGCGCAAGAATACCAAGTACACAACGATCCTTATTGAATTTTTTTTGTTTAATATTTTCTGGATTCTTGGTGTAAACAACAGCTTCCATAAAAAGAATCACAGACGGCTGGATTGGATTCCATGGATCGAGGATATATATCGTCCTTGGTTCGCTACAAATCAGGACCAAGGGCTAGCATGCTAGCAGTTCGGAGTCCTGCACTGCCATGATGCATCGTCAGCTTCGTTAACTTGCGAGTGTTTGTATGCTGTTAAATATAAGCTCTATTAATATTGTATTGTATTATGTCGACTTTAAAAAGGATTAAATTATCTTTAATTAATTAAATAATTAATTAAACGCTACCAAGGTAAGATCTGGTTGTCACTGTTGCTGCAATGATGATAAATCGCAGCAGTGAGTGTACTGTATGTAAGTACTAGTTTGGTAAATGCCGGTTGTTAGTACCTTGCCTACCTACCTAGGTAGGTAGATGAGCAAGCAATGGGAAAACAAGCATGTTGTTCAGATTCTGAGATTCCTTTCCCGTTCTACTAACTAATGGAGCTTAAGGCATGCCGCCCTTGAAACAACCCTCGTCAGGCATTGTTGTCAAGTTCAATAATAGTAAATGATGATGGAACGGTCTTCGTTGGCCATATCTGTAGCTCAGCAGTACAAGACTGGTCATGAGCAGCACCCTGGGAAAAAAAAAAGCATCAAGGAGAGTAATGAGATTAGGTAGATAGATGGTTTCACGCACAACAGCTATTGAGTATGCTATTGCTATTAGGGTAAATATCGCGTGATTGGCCTCATCCCGTGTCCCAAAGCTCTGACTCTGCGTTGATACTGTTAGTCCCGACTCCCAGCCCAAGCGCTCTTTGCTGTCATCCATCAGCTCATACGCTGGCCGAAACATTGTTGCATTGGCGTCAAGGGCCAGCGCTGGTCTGTGGGATTAAAGTATTTAAGAACTCGCTATGTGGATCTGTCCGTCTTGTTCTCATAAATATAGCCTTAATGGCTGGCTTTCACCTAGATATGCCTCAAGCGCGGGCCGCATAGGTAAGGTGTACCTAGCCAGGTCAAGATGGTAGTATGTTGCTGACGTTGCAACAATTCCTCAACTTCAGGGAATGGGTGAGGGGAACAATATAGACTGCTCGGAGGGACTGGTAGAGGGTCGATTGTGTCTGTTGTCTTGGGGATAGAGGAGATGGCGATGTTGGATTATGAATTGGTAGAGGATGAGAAGCCAAAGATCAACACCAACAAGACAAGGCTGTCTTTCCCGCCATTATATGAGAGGGACAATTGTTCGGGCCTATATCATCTATAGCGTGTTAGCCAGCTATCCTTCCTCTATGTATAAAATGTAGCACTTGCCTATATCACCATTGATACCCGAACTTGATTCTCACATTCTGTAACCACATCATCTATCTTCTCCTCCGGGAATGCAATTACTCTGCCGCAGCTCATCACATCTCTCAGGTAATAATAATGTACGCGCTGGTTTCGCGAGGCTGTTGACTCGGAGTCATCTTGGTGGGCGAGAGTAAAATTAGTCTTGGATGAGGAGGAGGATATTATTTATACTGATCTGCAAGAGAGCTCTAGCAGATATAGGAATAATAAATGTATCTGCTCCTCAGCGCGTACGAGGAGTTGCTGGCTCGATCACATGATGAAAGCTTAGTAAGCCTTGCTTACAGTCTGAAACTGTCACTTGGAGTTGGCTAATCCGGAAAGATGAAGTCCAGATCTCTGGACGACAGTACAGAGTAATGACAGTTAACTGAGTTGACGTAATCTGTTATCTGTCTTCTAACTACTCCGTACAGACTGCCATGTAAGGAGAGCCTGGAGAGGACATAGTGAGTGGGTCAGGGGCCAAGTCCCTGGCATAGGATTAGGCGTTTGCTTCCAAGCCAGGCACACCGTACTATTAGTATGCTGTATTATTATCATCACCAGCGTGGCGAGACTCCCCGAGTCATGTAAGGCTTGCGTTGCGTGTCTGATGTCATATGCGTCGCTCCCTTCTTCATTCGGATTGAATTGAATTTCACATCTCGTTCCTGGTGTAGGAGGTCAAAGCTGCTACCACGCACTGGCGCGGTTCTAATAATGTGCCCCCAACGGGCGGGATCCGCCACGTGGAAGAAAAGAACCATTTGGGCCAAAGAGCCCATTTTGGTCCAAGCCAAACAAGGTTGGCTGCCGCGAACTACTCCGTACGGAGGAAAAAAAAAGGCACAGAAAAAAAAAGTTCATTTAAAAATAATTGCGATTGACGACAGCGGAGCTCGACAGACAGGGATCTAGCACGCGAGCTCCCACCCACACAGACCACCCGGTGGCTCAGACCGACATAGATTTCAAATCACAGAGCAAATGAGGAGTGGCAGTTCGCTCGGAATTTTTGCTCGCGTTATTGTCATTGGCTCCATGCACACGGAGGATATGCACACACAATGACCTTGTACGTATCTTGCATGGCGCCCCCGCACCAGGCGTGCAGGCCTGTCTGATCGCCGCCGCCTGAGACACAGGCCGCGTTTCACGTGACTGGATGCGGAACAGGGGCGCGGGCACCGGGCGACTAGCGAGGCGCGGCGTGTTTCAGCTGCTCCCCGACCCCCCGGCCGCCCCACGAATCACGTTGCGATCCGCAGCCGCCCTGCTGCCGGCGGGCCAACCAGGAGGCGCTCTCCACCGCGCCACTGGCTGGCTGCCCTCACCTGCAGCAGGTGCGGCCGTCCTCAGTCATGATAATAATCCTGTCATGCAGCATGGCAACCTCGTCAACTGCAGGCTGTAGAACACGGCTGTTAAGGAGCAGGAAGAACCGATCAAAAACACCTCGCACAATACTCCGTACAATGGCTGTAGTCTGTGGAGGAGCCTGCTTAACCGCCGGCTCCGTGCTGTGCCGCATCCCGCGCCCCTCTTGCCTGTGATCGGGAAGCTAGCGGGCCCCAAACCGGGAACGCCTGGAAACCGCCTAGAAACAAGGGATCCAGTCGAGCCATCCTGGATGGATCGTTAGCCGAGTCGAGTCTTGTTTCATCTTGTAGCGCGAACTGCACCGAGATCCTTTCTCGCGAACGCCGTGCTCGTGATTCCACGGGCCGTGTTAAAAAAAAAGAGAAGAAAGAAACAAGAAAAAAAATAAAAATAAAAACTAACGT